TAGTAACTGTTACACACTTATCATCACATCTGTTTTCAAAAATGCCTTGTGGCTCGGCGCCTGTGGCTCAAGCGGCTAAGGCGCCAGCCACATGCACCTAAGGTGGCGGGTTCGAATCCCCAGCCCAGGCCTGCCAAACAACAATGATGGCTGCAACAAAAAAATGGCCGGGCGCTGTGGTGGGCGCCTGTAGTCCCAGCTACTTGGGAGGCTGAGGCAGGAGACTCGCTTGAGCCCAGGACTTGGAGGTTGCTGTGAGCGTGATGCCATGGCACTCTACCCAGAGGGATAGCTTGAGCCCCCGTCTCAAAAAAAAAAAAAAAAAATGCCTTGTATGAATTAGCCGCAAAAGCCTTTTAGGAGAACTTCTACTTCCTGGCTTTTTTGAAAAGTCAAAAGAAACCAAAAGTGGAACTATTATTTACAAGCCTTAAAAATAAAGCTAGTGACTATTAATATGTTAATGTAATTCACTCCTAAGTATATACAGGAAGATAATTGCAACCAGCATTCAATACGTAATATCTAAAAATATTTTTCATAAATAGAGCATTGATTAGCCAATACTAATAAATAACAGTAAATTTGGCTTTCGGTTTTATTACAGTTGAAATGAATTTAATCTCTCTTAGCAGGTAATTCACACCACCAATTTTTCAAAATACCTTTACATTACTATATTCGTAAGAAATCTCTCAGACTTATAAGGATTTAGAAAAATTATCTGTCCATAAGCTAGAACACTCTAAGTTTCCAATAATGAGGAGCCTTCTTGTTAACTCAAACGGACGGGTTCTTCTCTTCATTCATGGAGCCATCGGTCGTGTTTACTGCCATTCTCAACTTGACTGGAAAAATAAAAGTTAACTCAAAGATATTCTTATTTAATAATGGAAGAGATTATTACATATCTTTCTAATTATCAGATTTTAAAACATTCTTTGACTTGCTGATTGTCATAAAACTCTCCAAATTCATAAAAGTCCTCCTCTGTCCTTTTCTTTCTTCACTTTTCCTTCTTTTCCTCTTTTACTCTTTTCTTTTCTTTTATAAATATTTATTGAGGGTCTAATATATGCCGGGTACCATGTTGGACATTTGGAAAAGTGGTAATTACACACAATTAATTATAGCCAAAGTTAACAAGTGCTATAATGAGATATGAAATTATTCTCATAGCATTGCTGCCTGGCATTTTTTGGTAAAACATCTCTCAGTGCCCCTGGATTTTAACACAGGCAGGGCTGAACCCCGTCTTGTCTGTCCATCACCCGTCTCCCACCTTGGAGCACACTGCCAGGGACTCAGTAAAGGTTCATTTAGTTGAAAAATATATACTTCTCATAGCACATACCACAGTCTGGAGAAAGTCCCTAAAATAATTAGTTGTGAAAAGAATTTTAGAAGTAATATGTATTTGCTATGTAACCCAAACAAGTATGAAGAGTAAATTTAAATCACACCTATCCTCACCTCCAAGCATTAACCCTGAATAACACTTCAATGTATTCCTTTCCAGGCTTTTTCTTTGCATATTTGGCAAATTACTATAATACCTTTAAATTTACATACAATTTTGTATTCCATGTTATTCACTTACTTTATCATGAACATTTCCCATGTTATTAAATACTCTTCTACATTAAAGCAGTTTAATGGCTGCCTAATATTTCATCACAAGAATTTAGAATTTAAAAATTACATGATTGGCTCAGCGCCTGTGGCTCAACAGGCTAAGGCGCCAGCCACATACACCTAAGGTGGAGGGTTCGAATCCAGCCCGGGCCTGTCAAATAACAATGACCGCTGCAACC